GAATGCTCCAGGCTGGCCAGGAACAAAAGTGCGCATCCTTCCTGATGGGCTCTGTCACCAGTTTGCTTCATTCTGTGCTACTGGCTAGGGCTCAGAGGTGTTTTGGAATCGCAGAGTTAGTTTTCCCTGAGTACCATGATCTATTATGTAATAATAGTACAATACTGTGGAATTAGGCTGGCCTGCTATAAACAATACTGATTTTCAGTTGAATATCTAAAGATAGTCACCTCCTCCACTCGTTCTCTCTGTCCTTTCAGCCCTTTCTTCCACTCGTGTAGGCTCTTTGTGCACCCACTCCCTTCCCCACATGCTTCGTGCATTCTGCTGCCCTTTTCTCCAGTGCTGATGCAGCTCTTTGCTCTAGCCGCGCTCTGCCCTCCATGTCCAGTTCAGTACATTTTTTGTGTGTGTTTTCTATCCCTGGCTTGTTTCACAAGCATGGAGGCAGATAGATAGCTATTTCTTTGGTATCTCAAAGACTGCCTTTCCTTCCTCTCCAGATGTTTGCTGTAGCGGTTCCTGAGAGCATGGTTTTGGGTAAACTAGACAGATGTTGTTTGGTACACAGATTATTTGGTACAACACCTCTGAAGCCAACTTTGCTGAGAATTTGGGGAAAATAAATGTGGCTATCTCCTGACCCTTTCATATCCTGCCAAAACTTTAACCCTGTTACTTTTTCAAATGGCTGTTTTCCTTTCTTTTATCTCTTAACGTGAGGATTGGTCAGCAGAGAGATACCAGAAGCAACAGTTAATGGATGCAATGCTCTTTAATGGTTCGCAACAATAATACATGTTTTGTAAACTTTCCATTGAACTAGCCAAACAGTGGTTATTTTTCATAGTTAAACAACATACAAGGTAGTAAACTGAACAAGTCTTCAAAAAAGTTTCTTCTAAATAACACAGAAAAAAGGAAATTTTTATATTTCAAAAAGCATCAGAAATTCCATTTGTGTATAAGCATGCCTTTCAAGTGGATAGATGAAATATTACAGTACGATTCCCTTATCTTTTTCTCAGTAGAAGGTAAGATCTGATTTCCAGCTTAAAAGTTTTGTGTTCTACAGATCATCACTTAAACACAAACTTTATACCAGCGTTAGCACTGAACACTAAGATAGCTTAGCAATTATTTAGTCTTTCCAAGCATGCTCTCTGTTGGTGAATAAACAAATGAACAATCATTACACGCAGTTTCTACATTATCACCAGAAGGTGATGCCAACAGATGTTTCATCTGGTTATAACTTCAACCTTAAAAAAAAAAAAATAAAACAAACAAACTTTTGAGAGTCTGTTGAAATGTCACTGGGTTTGAGGTTGGGTTTTTTTGTGATTTTTGGGAGCTTTAGCTTGAGATGGAAAGTCGTAGCTCACATAATGCATTCAGATATTCTTCATTGTCAGGACACAATGCAATGGCTTTCTCATAGCACTCAATTGCTTTCTGTTTCTCACCGTTTAGATTATGAACAAGTCCAAGTGTACCAAAATCTGTTGCATTTCCTAAACCTCTTTGAGTTTTCTGTTCCAACATTTGTTTCAGAGCATTTATGCACCTACTTCTTCCATAAGAATCTTCTTCAATTTTCAGCCCTTCTAGGTAACACCTAATGGCTTCAGATTCCGATTTCATATGAAAACGCTGAAAATTGCCGTAACGGTAGTAGAAATTTTGTTTATCATCATTCAATAAAATATTTATCTGAAACGCTTTCTGAAATGTCTCTTCTGCTTCTTCATACCTCTTTCCTTCTGCATACATGTTTGCTAGGTCAGTATGGGCAGCAAAAAATTTTGTCTTTTGATCAGTCACTGTTTTAAAATGAAAAATGGAAAGTCGGATGAGTTCCTCCACTTGCTCTTTAGGTGGATATCTTGTAGCCTTTCTCAGCTGAAACAGCTTTTCTCTGTAGCAGAGTCCTAGTTGGTGATGCAAAAAGGAAGATTTTGGTGTCACTGCTAAGGCCTTTTTCAAAATCTCCAGTGCCTTGTCTACTTCTCCTTTCCTTCTGTAAAATTTAGCAGCATATCGCAGCAAATAAGGAAGATTAGGGGTTTTCTGTATTGCTTCTTCAATGTACCTCTCCCCTTCATCAACTTGCTTTAAGTCCTGAAATTTTAATGCAAGTAATGCCATAATGAAAGTATCCTTTGGATTCAGTTCCACTGCACGCTTCAGGGGCTCGAGGGACAGGCTTGCATCTTCGCATTGTCTGTGAGAAAATGATTCCAAACGATATATTGCTATTGCATAGCCAGCACTAAATTCTGGGTTATTGGGTTCATTCTTCAGAGCATTTTCAAAGCAATCCTTTGCTCTCTGGTAGTATTTTCTCCCAAACTTCAGTAATGCCCATCCTTGCTCAGCATAGATCTCTGGAAGCTGAATCTTCCACTGAGCAGTACTTGAAAGCTTTTTGCAGCTGTTTTCCACTTTGCTTATGTAAGTTTGAGCTTCTTCGTATCTCTCCATGTGGTAATAGACCCAGGCATAGTTCCCCCAGGTAACAAGACTTCTCCTGGCAATTTCATCTGGATGATTTTTTTTAACTTCCTCTTCAGCTTTTTGGAGATTTCTCAGGGCTTCCTCATTTGAATTCTTTAAGTGGCAAATATAAGATAGTAGATTATAATTTATGGTGTTGGATTTTATGAAAAACTCAATCTGATTGTCTGTTGTTTCCTCTAGCTCATCGAGATCCACATCCTGCCTCAGCAAAGTCCATGTAAAATGACATTCTAGCTGCAGCAGACATCTCTTCAAGGAATTCTTGGAAATGGTACTAGAAGAAATCAAAGAAAAGCTTACTTATACTCCATTTGCTTTTTGCTACTCTTGCTTTTCAACCAGGCATGGTGTACTTCAAAAGCAGGCAATACCTCACCTAGTGCCACTAGTCAACAATACTTCAAACAAGCCAAAGTTGTGGGAAGCCACAGGTCTAAAGAGCTGAGTAGTTATTTTAGTAATTCTCCAGTGTATGAGGGCACCACTTACACCCAACGGAGCTGGTGGTCTGGATGTCAAAGAGGAGGGCTAGTCACTATGGTAAAGCTGGCACACCTCTGGGCCTCAGGAATATATTTCCTGTCCTGGGAACAATTGCTGAAACCTACCCAGAAGACGTAATCAAATAAAAATCTTCCCCCAAAATACAGAGAAAGTGATACAGTCCCTTTCCTATATTTTATGGTTTAGATTATAAATTTCGTTTTTTATTTCCTGCATTTGTAAATCCTTGTTTGTTAGGTCGTGGCACCATTTTAATGTTATGATTATACTGACATATCCAGTAGCTGGGTCGGAGATCCCACCAGTCTCCCCAGTTGCTGGTACTCGGGTGTCCAGGTCTCCGAGGGTGCAACCCCACTCCACTTGCTGGTACAGACCACACACTCACCCACGAGCCCTACGGACCCCCAGAAGCTCGCTCTGGACATCCAGCAGCCTCGCCCCATGACGCACGCACACGCACACTGACCAGGCCCGGTTTACATGCAACTGGTCCTTAATGCCCCTTTATCCCTCTCTATTTTTCAACGGTTGCCCCTTCCCAAATCAACCGGATCCCTTGTGTCCCCGCCTTTGGTCTCCTCCCCAAACGTACCGTAGCCTCGCGCGATCCCCAAATGCTTTTCCCTTCGTCCCGTGACGTGTCCCATGTCCCCGGGCAGTTCAGACTGCAAGGCCCTCCCGTGGACCCCTGGTGCTGGGTGTCCGCCCGGCCCGTGGGGCTGAGGGTCCCTTGGGGCAGCCCTGGGAGGGCTGGGTGGGGGCTCGTGTCCCTGACTGGGACATTGGGGTGCCCCCGCCTGCCCTTGTGCCTCTATGCTCCTCCATGTGCGTGGGGACGGGCTGATGGCTCCTGGGATGGGCCTGGGAGCAGCCGGGGCAGGGTGTTATTTGGGTTCCCCCTCCTGCCATCGCCTGCCTGTGTCTCCGTGTGGGTCTGCAGACCAGCTTTTAACACACAACCTACCACGGACAAACATTTACAACGCTGAGGAGATAACGCTTTAGTTCACGTTGTGGACTAAAAAGAAGGAATTATACATGACTTTATAACAGAGGTATTCGTCAGACGAAAAGGTATTTATAAGTGCTGTTAATGTATAAGTTTGTCTTACAGACTTTGTCTTTCTCAAATAATCTCCTCTGCCTAAACTGATGTTTTTGATTGGTATTAACAACAGTTCCTAATTAGAAAGCTGTATGTGAGGTAATTACAGTTCTTCTGGGATGAAGGGGAAGTGAGAGCAAGCTCCTATTGTCACTATCTTGTTAGAAATGTTTGGCTACAGGGGAATACCATGGAACAGATATTGGCTCCCAAATCAGCATAAGGAGCTTGAAGAATTTCAGTAGTCCCATTCAAAATGAAATGTGTGTTGGTTCTCAGCTGAGGCAATAAAAAACATGAAAATGTCCGTGGCTGAAAACAACATTGGAGAGTAATTAATGAAAAGACATTCGTGGAAAATGAATATCCATGAATGTCACAAAACCAAAATTGTGATGCAGATTAAATACAGTTTAGCTTAGTTCAACACAAAACCGGTAAATGCAATTTCAAAAGTTGTCATAAACATCTTGG